TGGAGCTGCTGAGGGACTGAGCATAGCAACAGGGGGCTGGTGATGGTTGCCTGCTAAGGATCAGATTTGTCACAGGCCCTCAGAGAGGTTCCATGGGGACTTTCCAAGAGTCTCTAGCCTGTTCCAGAGCTGGAATGTCACAGGCACAGACAGGGGTCCATGGAGACCTCCCAGGGCTTTCTGTGGGTGTTAAAGAGCCCTGTGGTCAGAGGCAATCACAGCCATTCCGTGGTGACATCCCAGGGCACCTCGGGCTGCAAAGGCACCGATCTGTCACAGGCACTCACGGGCGCTCCACAGTGACATCCCAGGAGTCACCCGGCTGCCAAAGAGCCGGGATGTCCCAGACACTCACAGGGGTTTCTGTCATGGGCACAGTGGTAGCTTCAGTCAAAGTTTATTACAGAAGTTCCTGTTGGGCCACGAGGTGCAGAAATGAGCCCCAATAGCCCCCACAGATCCCCAGATACCCCCAAGGATGTCCAGGCTTTCTAAACTCCTTCTGGGAGAGCCACATTGAAGCAGCTGTTTCCAATCCCAGCTGCAGACTTTTCAAGAGTTTGTGTGTAGAGAATAATAAAGTGGGAAATCAACCTTTGTAGAATTTGCCCCACAGGATTAGGGATGGCAAACCACATATTTTTATATAAATATGTATTATCTATTATGGTAATTATTAGAGAAAATTGTCTAAATCAGAAATATTTAACCGTGATTTAAGAGATGTATAATATATTATATAGAGCACTAAGAAATTATTTCAAAGGAATTGCATTAAAGCAAAATCTGTAATTATGCAGATTGATGTTACTCCTGCAGACCAATGACTGTGGGAAATCCCTTCGACTCAGGCTGGAGCAGTGACCTTGAGGGATGTCCCCACAGCAGGGAGGAATTTCCACACCCCCCAAGAAGGGAAATGTCAGGAGATGCTGCTATTAAAATTTGGGACGGGGCTTTTCCAGTCTGAGGTGCTGCCCTGTCAGTCAGATATGCCCAGGCTGGACCAGCTCAGCAGCTCTGCAGAAGCTCTCAGTGGTGTCACTTGGTTGTTCCTTTCTCGGGGGATTTTTCCACCTCTGCCACAGCTTCAGCTCCCTCTGAGGATGTTGAACTTTGGGATGGAGGAGTCAGGCTGGTTTCAGCATGACTCACCCCAAAAGCAGTGTGACCNGAAGGATCCCCAGGACACCCAGGCAGGTGAGGAGGAAGTCAGTGCCCCTTTCCCCCTCTCTCTGGCTCCATCTCCCAGCCCAGCACGCCCCCCAGCTGCAGGACAACCCTGCTACCAACCCCATCGTGCTGGGGATGCTCTGAGGGAATCTCCTTCCCCTTCCTTCTGGCACAGAGACAAATCCCATCCTCTCCTTGTCTTTCCTGTCCCAGACAAGAAGCTGAGGATGGAGACCAGGGAGGACAAATCCCCAGGGCAGAACCTCGTGAAAGAGGCCGTGATGAGTGACTCCAGGGCACAGGAATTCAATGGGGAGGAAAATCCCCACAGATTCCATAGGAAGAGGGGCTCCAAACCCAGTCTGGGGTGGTCTGAGGAGGAAAGACCCTCCCTTAGACAAGAAGGTGGTCAGAGCTTTAGCCAGAGCTCAGAGCTGGTGGTCCATGAGCAGCTTCATGATGGGGAGAAGCACTACAAGTGCTTGCAGTGTGGGAAGAGCTTCAGGCAGAGCAGCACCCTGATCCGCCACCAAAGCATTCACACCGGGGAATGGGCCTACGAGTGTGGGGAGTGTGGGAAGGGCTGCAGCTACAGGTCAGAACTCATCAGGCACCAACGCATCCACACTGGGGAAAGGCCCTACGAGTGTCCCCAGTGTCAGAAGAGGTTTCAGAGCAGCTCCAATCTCCTCCTGCATGAGCGGATTCACACGGATGAGAGGCCCTTCCACTGCCCTGAGTGTGGGAAGGGCTTCAAGCGCAACTCCAACCTCATCAGGCACCGGCGCATCCACACTGGGGAGAGGCCCTACGAGTGTTCCCAGTGTCAGAAGAGGTTTCGGACCAGCTCCAATCTCCTCCAGCACCAGCCGTTTCACACAGAGGAGAGGCCCTTCCGCTGCCCTGAGTGTGGGAAGGGCTTCAAGCAAAACTCCAACCTCATCAGGCACCAGCGCATCCACACTGGGGAGAGGCCCTACCAGTGCCCAACCTGTGGGAAGAGGTTTCACACCAGCTCCAATCTCCTCCTGCATGAGCGGATTCACACGGATGAGCAACCCTTCCACTGCCCTGAGTGCGGGAAGGGCTTCAAGCACAACTCCACTCTCATCAGGCACCGGCGCATCCACACTGGGGAGAGGCCCTACGAGTGTCCCCAGTGTGGGAAGATCTTCACCCAGAGCTTTCACTTGACCAGTCACCAACAGAGGCACCGGAAAGGGAAGGCCTCCAATGCCCCAAGTGCAGGAGGATTTTATGCACTGCCCCAACACCAATCATTGAAGTATCCATGTTGGGAAGAGCCCTGATGATCCATGTTCCCTATGATCCATGCTGGGAAGACACCTGTACCTTTTCCTGTCCCTGCCAATGACATGATGTGGGATGGAAAAACATGAAGGTCTGGCCCTGGCCCTGTCATTACATTCACTCCCACCTCAGGTCATTGCCAGGGGCAGGAAAGGGACTCTCTCTCTCCCTGCGGAGAAGGGTGAAATTTCCAGGAAGGGGAAATTGTGGCCAGGAAGACCCAGCAAGTTGTGTTGTGGTCTGTAAACAGTCCCTTCTGTTATCAATATTGTTTTTGTTTTTGTTTGTTCCTTATCTCGTTGGTGTTCTCAGTAAATTGTTCTTATCCCAGCCCAGAATCTTTGCCTTTTGTGCTTTCCATGGGAGGTGGGAGGGCAGCAAGGGCAGTGCAGTTTTACCAGGAGCAGGAAATTGGGGAATCCCATTCCTGAACCCTGGGCTGTGGAAACCGAGCACGCCAGCTGGTCCCAGCCCTGGTGGCCATGGCAACAGCCTTGGGAGTGGGTCCCTGGCTGGGGCTGTGGGAACCTCTTCCCTCTGGTGCCCAGGGACAGGAGTGGAGGGAANCCCCAGGCATTCCCTGGGGTGAGAATGATGGAGAACCCCTGGGAATGGCCTGGGGTGAGAAGGACAGGGACAGGAACACCCCTGGGGAATGCCCTGGGGTGACATGGACAGGGTCACCCCCTGGAGAACAGCCTGGGGTGACAGGGACAGGGACAACCCCTGGGGAACAGCCTGGGGTGACAGGGACAGGAAAAATCCCCCCAAACCCCTCCCAAGCATCCCCCAGTGCGAGAGGCACAGAGACCCCAAACATGAATAAACCGACATTCCAAGCAGTGATGTGGCAATTCCAATATTTATTGCTTCCTGCACAGCTCCAGCTCAGCTGCTGGCAGGTTCTGATAACAGGAAAGCGGAAATTTGGCCCAATACAGATTATTAAAAGGAATAGAAAGCTCTGTGTAGCAGTCACAAAGGTGACAGGGATAAAGAGAAAAATGATTGTCACATTTGGTAATGCCCCCAGGCCTGGGAATTCAGGACTTATTCAGAAATTTATCTACTTGAGCTGGGCTTCTTGTGGGACTTTCAGCCACCTTGTGTTCCTCACCGTGGGGTGAATGAATCTTGTCAGTCTCACTGGTAACATTTGTTCCATTTCCTCCTGTGATTTTAACAAATTTATAAGGAAAGACAGCAAATTATTTTCTTTACACTGGCCACCCATAAAAGCCATTTTCCTCATCATTTCTCCCATAAAGAAATAAAATTTTATAAGCTCCATAAGCTCCCCAGGAGGAAGGAGGGACTGTGTCCAAGTTTCCAAGAGTTCATCCAGAAAGAACCACAACTTCATCAGTGGAGGGAACCATGCTGTTGTCAAAGGCACTTGGGGTCAGACAACAGTGCCCTGAACTCACTGTGCCAAAATAATATGTCAATATGGTTAAGAAAATTGTTAGAGAGATGCCTCTGCCCCAATTAATGTACTAACACGACGAAATCCAAAATGGATTTTATTGAACAGTAAATGTGAGGTAGAGAGAGAGATGGAAAGAAAGAGAAAAGATGAGTGACAAGGGCCAGAGACCTAGCCTGGAGCAGGGCAAGTGTGACATTGTCCCCTGTGTGTGTGGCCTTCCCAGGGTGGGGGTTTTACACTGAGCCAGTTTGGGTAAGGGGGGTGGTGTTCACCCCCTGAGCAGGGATTACCCCACTGTTTCAGGTTGCTATGCAAGATGTAACCAAATGCATGTTTTCAATCCCCATCTTCATCAACTGTTATAAACAGGTGGGGCAGTGTTCTTTATCTCTTCCATGACTCAGCCCAGATAACACCCTCCAGGGGAGATATCTTCTGCTAATGGGCCATTGAGTGTCACTGCAGGACTGATAAAATTCCATCATCCCATTGTGGGATGCTCCGCCC